TTTCGGTATGAGTCTGGACGAGAAGGCTGATTTATAAAACTTGCACAAAAGATGAACTACACATTTTTTTTAGAAAGAGGTTCTATTAACAATCCAATCATTTGTAGGGAGGCAATGGTGGGTAATTTGTCATTGTAGAGATGCTACCTTAACTCGCCTGCATTTAATGGTGTGAAACCATTTAATTACTCTCAACTTTTTTTTTTTTTATGTTTATATATTTCATCCAGCAGACTTCTATACGATTTTTAAACCACTCGTACTTGGCCCAACTATCGACCACGAGAAAAAATAGAGTAAAAAAATGGTTTTAGTCAGTTGAACTTGAATGCTCTTGTAATAGCTTGTATGTTTCATAAAATTGTGGCTTATGTACGGGTAGGACTTTAGGAAGTACTGATGGTTTAAGATTTACATTAGGACGCAACATCTTGTTTATAAATTTTACTGACGGAGTATGTAATAAGTTACTAATAACCTAAAGTAGGAATGTTCCTTGCATTTTGGGCAGTACCAGGTCCAGTTTACCGAGTAAAAAGGTAAGTGAGATATTGACATGTTTGATTTTAAGACTACTAGTAATTTGTCCTTAATTTTTAACACCCCAATTCAAAATAGTTGGTCAGCCTGGATCCATCCATTATTCTTTTAAGGTCCAAGTCTAAGAAATTTGTCCTTTTTCAAGTCGAGGAAAATCAAGAGGATGTCCTATGTACTTAAGGCCTCAATTATGTTCGTCACAATCCCCGAATGACTCGTGATGGTCACTCAATCATTGGAGTAAATTTTAGGTCCTTTCTTAAAAATGATGATCCATTCAAAGGGAATTATGTCAATTACCTGTTCTAGGGCCTTCCTCTGATGATGACAATATCGTAGGCACTCTAGTAAGGCCAAAGAATCAATCAAATTCCTGTTTTTCTGATTTTATATATCTATGGTGCGTATAACACATTCTTAATCCACAATTTCCATTAAGAGTTTATGCAATGAAGAACACAACCACAAGAATCTCTCATGAATGTATTGTCCAATAACGGTTGTTGACATTCATCTTTCTATCTCTCATGAAGTACTTTACTAGGTAGAGGGAGTTTCCTCCAAGTTTTGAACATAGTGATAAAAAATGGGTCCCTAGGTACGTTTTTCCTGGTTGCTTGTCGATTTGAGATGTCCAAATGATGCGGTTTCGCAGAGGATCTGCTTGAAAGGGAACAATAACGATCTTATAATCACATGAGAGGGTTCACCTCATCCGGTTTGGGCGGTGCTAAACTCTTGATTTTCTCACAAATCAAGCAGTTTCAAGGGGTAAGGCAGTTAAATAAAAAACGTTTGAGCCATTTAATAGAAAAAGTCATAGCTTAGGTAGCAAAATTAATAATGCTAGACACTACTAATAACATTTTTACATTCAAGGTTCCTTCGTCATAAGAACTTCACTAATTGATGTTATAATATCTTAAGAATAACCTTGCCCAAAACCTATGTTGTATATTTATATTAAACATAAGTAAATACCATATAGTTCATTGCAAGTGTTCTTCCAATAATTGACATGTGTTTGTCTTTTCATAACTCGAGTTTCGATTGAGCTTGTTTCGTAATTTTTTCATTATTGGATGTTGGTTTGCGCGTAGATGAGAGGGATATCTAAAAAACTCTGATGGATACCTCAAGTGGGAACCATTTAATTTGAGGTTGTTCATGAGGTCTCTCTTTTTTATAATAAATTGACCACCCCAGTGTTTGTTTCCCTTGTCGACCATCATGTCAGACAATTTACAAAAAATGTTAATAGTCCTTATAATAACCTCTGAAATTTGTTGGGAGGCATCAACCATTAATGAAATATCATTGGCGAATAGAGAGAAAACTGGAATAACCCCATTTGGAATGGAGGAAACCTGAATGCATTTAATGTTTTTTTTTTTTTAAGGTTAGTTGTCAAAGTTTTCATAATGATTACAATAAGGAGTAAAGAAATTAAATCGTCCTATCTAACGGATTTTTTGAAGCGAAATAGGAAGAGTCGCATTGTCATTAACTATTACATGTGTTGTAGCATTTGTATTAATGATTGTTATCCATGTCCTAAAACATAAACCAAAGTTTAAGTTTTTTACGCATTATCCGGGAAAAATTAATCAACGTGTTAATAAGTTTTATTGAAAATCACTAAATATAACAACAACACTGTGTTTGGATTGACGATAAAACTTAATTGGTTCATTGATGAGAAAAATATTGTCATTGATATTCCTACCCTGAATAAACTTCAATAAAGTCGGTTTGAGAGAGATTAATTATGTTCGCAATAAACTTACTCAAACGGTTTGTTGTAACCTTACAAATCGACTTGTATAATACAATAAGGAGTGTGATAGGTCGGTAATTTCAATTATTAAGTTTATCTCCTTTCTTATACAATAGTGTTAATACACCTTGTCCTACAATTTATCCCAATTGTTCTATCAACCAAACAAATTGATAAAGATTCGTGAGATAATGAAGGATGAACTCGAATAAGACTTCGGCATTTCATAAACGTTTAGGGTATTTTCCTCCTCCGTAAGCAAAAGCATTGTCCCCCCTTCTTATTTTGTCAAAGACACTTTAAGTTGCTTCCTTGAAAAATTTGAAATACCTATAGTAATTGGTTAAAAACAATAATTAATCCCCATGCTATGATGATTTATAAAAATATGATTTTATTTTTTTTATTTTTTTTTTTTTTTTAGTGTTGAGGTGACCAAAGGGTCATTTATATTTTGAGGGTGAGTTAGAACTGCAATGTGTGTCCTCCCTGTGTGGGCTCTAACTATAACAAAAAAAGATGTATCTATGACATCTTTTGTAAGATGTTTTATAAACTTAGCCCAAATTCTAACACATTGTCACCGATATTCCATATGAGAAAGTAATTAGGTTTCTAATTTTTATATTTCTTGAGCTATCGATTCGTTATTTTGCATATCAACGATGTTAAATTTTAGTAACTTCAATTGTTGATATAGACATGACTCATTAGAATGACGTTCGACAGTAAGTAGTTTCTAATATTCATTGCATTTACAAACTAGGAAGAGTAGGTCGTTGTTGGACCTCTTAATGTCATTATGTATAAGGGTCTTTTGTTGTTTTTAAAATGTTAAAACATCTCCTAAGAGTTGAAGTAAGATTTGAATAATTTTATTTTAAAATGAGATGTATTTAGTTTATAAAAAAAACTTCCTTTATCTGTTTTTTTTTTTTTAAGGAGAGAATGATTTCACACATTTCATGGTCCAGACCTGACAGGGGGTTTCAAAGCAAAAAATTGTTATCTGAAGTGTTCCTTTCACTTTATCTCATATGAAGATTAAATTTATGCACGATTTGGTAGCCGTATTAGATTGATTTTTCGTAAAGCACGTGTAAGTAGGATGAAAATGGTTCGCTTTTTTGAATGAATCAAAACGGTTAAGAGATGATGGGTGTGAGTGTGAGCGTGAGCAGGGTGTATGTGGTGTGTGGGAGAGTGTTGGCCATAGATACTATTGTGACTGGATGAGGGGTGACGAACGTAGATGGTGTGCAACAATTGACTTACCGTGACGCACGGGTGTGCAATGCGTAGTTTGTATGTGCATGAGTGATGAACAATGTTTCGTCGTCTATGTTCAAAAGCAAGAGAGAGAGAGAGAGAGAGAGAGAGAGAGAGAGAGAGAGAGAGAGAGAGAGAGAGAGAGAGAGAGAGAGAGAGAGAGAGCATTGCATAATGCAACATGTCAGTGGCAGGGAACACAAGGGCAGGTGTTGACCTCGAGAAAAAAAAAGGAAGGGTAATGTTTCATTGTAATACATGAGTTTTTTCTTTTCAAAATCCGAATAGGAGTACATGTTGGGTGGGCCCGCTGCACCGTTAGTAGGGCTCACCCCGGCGCGGAAAGCCCTCTGGCGAACATCCTCCCTGGGTCATACACCCCAACACCTCTACAACCCTTTTAAAGAGGTGTATTCGAATACAACACGTACGTGCTCTGTTTGAAGTTCTCTTCTGTACGAGAAAAGTGAACCTACAATGTTTTCGATTGCAAAATACTGTGGCTTCCTCGGCCTCCCACTCCGTTCCGAATTTTAAATGTTCAACTAAAGGACCGCGGCCTCCTCTGCCTCCTATCGGCAGCTACTGGTCCTTCGCATGCCCCGCCCCTTGCTAAGCCCTCATCTCAAAATTGCCCACCCTCCCGAACTACCACCATCATTATTGTTGAAAGTTGAATTGACGTTGAAGGTCTCAAAGGGCATAAAACGCAACCCTGTCGGGCTGCGAACAGGCTGCAAACTGGCAAAATGCTAGGTCTTTGCGTTAGAAGGTCGCCCCCCACCGGCGGCCCAACCTGCATCCCCTATTTCGGCTTAGGAGTAGTGGTAGGATGAGAGGTGAAATTGAGAGAAGATCTGCCGCCAGGTGGCACTGCGGGCGGCAGCAGCATCCTTATGGGAGGACAGCAACACCTCTCAACGGATGAAAATTGAACTTCGGCGGGTTTCCAATCGGCGCCAAGGAAGCTTCCTCTCCTTGTGTTTTGGGCAGTTGTTTTTTTGTCGTTTTCGAAAGCTCCTTTTGTGTTTTGGGCGGTCCATTTCTTTTCTTGTCGTTTTCGTTGTTGGGTCGCCCAAAGCGCGCCGCTGCCGAGCCCCTTTCGTGCGAAGTCCCTGCGAACTCACGCCTGAGTGCGCCTGCCGAGCAGGTTGGAACTGGGGATCGATCTTCTCCTCGCCCGAGCGGGAAGAGGGCTCATGATCTCTCCGCCTCTGTAGCATTGGGACTTTCAGATCGAAGCTTCTGTCAAGGCACGACGCACCCGACCGCGAAAACGATTTTATTCCCTTCCGTAAAGATATCTGTATAATTTGAGTATGAGCCCAGAGTCCTGTCTGAGGTACGCACACTCAGACACGGTAGGAGGATTGCCGGTACCCTTGAGCCAAGTCGGCAGTGCCGTGCTCAACCGGCTTGTGGCTGGCGGCGGGAAATTGCGCCGAATGTGTGAATGAAGAACTGTAGGATACTGGACACGGCGTGCCGTGGCAAAGCTTGCCCAGGTCCATCATCGCATCATTACCCGAGTGCCACGTCGGTCCCTTTGAAGGGGTGCTCAGGGAATTGCACTCCTCGTGTCCGCGGAGGGGAGAAGCCGAAGAACGCGCAGTGCTACGACCACGAAAGTACACCAACCAATCATATGCATGGGGGAGGAAAAACAAGAAACGTAGGCTAAACAAACAATAGATGGTGACGGCTCACTGGCCAGTTAACGGGAGAGTAGATGGGGACGGAGAATGAGGGTGGATGACTAAGGCAGGTGAGGTGCAGAGGAGTGCGCGGCAATGGCGTGCCGAGGAAGGAGGAGAGAGAGAAGGAAGATAGGCCCCTCGACGCGTGAGTGACTTGAGGGGCTGACGACGTCGATCGCTATCCGAATCCCAGGTCCGAGGGATTCCTGGTGCCATCGAGAGCGTGAACGAGTGCGGGTGTATGACACACCGCGTGTGCAACATTAGGCGTGGGTGGAAGTGTGCAACGTCGAGTGTGTTCCATTGAGAACGGGAAGTACGTATTATGCTAGGCGAGGTTAGTATCGGGGAAGAGGCGAGAGGCGGGACGAGGAAGGAGAGGAGAAGGGCGTAGAGGAGGGGAGAATCCACCGTGCGAGAGGTGGATGTGGGTGTCAGCGGGGGAAGAAGTGGGAGTCAACAAGCAAAGGAGAGAGAGAGAGAGAGAGAGAGAGAGAGAGAGAGAGAGAGAGAGAGCAGGGCGAGAGGAGATACGAAAAGCCGGACATCATCGCTGATCGTCCATATCGTTGCCATCGCCGACGTAATCTTTGATCGTGAACTGGATCTCGATTAGGAGAAAGGAGGTGGGGATCGCACTTCTCGCTTCCTGGTTTCTCCGTCATCCTAAACAGTCATCTAGTTCCATGGTTCTCTCGTCCCTTACGAGTCTTCCCGCCGTTCGTTTAGGTTCTGGCGCCTTTTTCCATCGTCATTTACGCGGCCGCCGGCGAGCCGCGCCGCGCTGGCGCGCGTCCCTCCCCTCTATTCCCTTCCCTACACCTTTTCTTGAATCGCCCTTTCGATCTGTGCGCCGCCCGCCCGCGGCAGAGAGCGCTTGCTTCTAAACCAGAGTCAACAGTGCCCATGTGTTGTATTCGGGGGGGGGGGGGGGGGGGCGACGGCAACTCTTCCTCGCACCCTTGGCGCGCTTCACTTTCTCTCTTTCCCTCGTGCAGCCACGTGGCGTCGGCGATCGCTCCCCTGCTTCCCGTCTGCTGCTCCGTCGCCGTGTGCTCATATCCTCTCCCTGACCTCTTCGCGCGTCGCCTTGTCATCCCTTTCCCTCTCGTTCTGTCGCCAGTGCAGGCGCAGCCGTATTTCACTCACCGACTCTCTCTCTCTCTCTCTCTGTCCCTCTTCCTCTCTCCTCTGCCTTCTAGTCCCTTCCCATCTCTTTCGTTCGTATCTATCTACGTTCGCCCCTACTCCCTTTCACTGTCTGCACTATCCTTATGCTGATCGCCCTGTTCTTCCATTCACAGCCTGCACTGCCCTATTCCCTCGAACATAAGTGCCCATCATCATGAATGAATACAGGCCCTATCGTGACCAAATGCGTACATGACAAGGAGTTACGTTTGGGTGGTTTGGGGGGGTTGTCATAAGGTGCACTCATGTTGATCGCCCGTGTGCCCTCTCTCCGTCTCTCTCGGTCACATTTACGCTGCGCTGCTTTTCCTCTCTTTCTCAGTAATCCTGCCTCTTCCTCTCCTAAGTCTTTCTGTCATTCCTATCTCCCTCGCATCTCCCCTCTCATTATCCCTGGCGTTTCTTTCTTCTCCCTGCTTTCGTCGCGCCTTGTGTCCTGAGCGGCTGCTTTCTTCTCTGCGCTTCTCCTCGATCGGCCTTTTCCCAGTCTGTAGAATTAACTTCTCTCCTCGAGGCCGTAGTTCCGCGCACCCACTCTCCCCTTCTACCCCTTCTACCCCCTCTCCCCCTCTCCCCCTCTTCCCCCCTCCAAAAAAAAATAAAAATAAAAATAAAAATAAGAATAAAAATCCTAGGCGGCTTTCATCTCCCACACGTCTCCTCACTTTCTCTCCTCTCCCCTCCCCCGATACCATCTCGTACGACATCTAATGCCACTTTCTCTCGTCGTTTGTCTCATGGCGCGCTGTGCCCGATTTCTCACCTCCATCCTCCCGCGTCTCGTTCCCCTCCGGTAAAGTGTCTGCCTGCCTTCCAAGCAGGGGATATGGGTTCGATTCCCGTTATCCGCAATTGGCTTTGATTAGATGAGATGAGAAAAGACTTGGACACCCTCCCTGAGTACCACCCAGTCGCACTCGTCTCTGTCTCCGTCGTTTCCTCCTCCTCGTCCTCTTAGCTGCTGCCCCTGTTGTCTGCTCATTGTATGGCTGCTGACGGTATCCCTGTCCTCAGGCGCTGATTGTCCCGGCCGGCACTTGCGCAGCTGCCCTCCTCTCCTGCCTGCTCTCTGTTTGCCCTCGGCGGCAGTCTCTTTCCTCTTGTGTCTGTCCTCTCGTATTACCTGTTGTGCCTTTTTCATTCCCTCGATGATCTACTTTGGCCCTCGCATCCTCTTCCTCTCCCAACTTCTCTCTCCATCTTCTCCTCGCCTTTTCTGTTCCTCCCTCTCCTCACGCCAATCCCCCTGACTCCAGTTTCTTCTCCCTGCTTCATCATCCCCTTTCACCTTGCATATCCCGTTTTCTCCGCGGCCTGAATCCTCCTCAGGATCAATATCCTCCTCTTCCCCCGAACACAACGCACCCCGCATTGTGACGGTATCTGGTTGGAAAGGCAGTTTGCATACGTGCATTATGACGAGGGTGCGTTATGCTCGGGGAAAGACGGTGATACCCCTGCTCCCCTCCGATCTCTCCCTCTGTCCCGTCCTCTGTCTTGACTTTCCGGCTTCGTTTCTTTTCTAGCGCAATACGTAATGTCTACCTTCTTGCGCGTGTCCTCCTTCGCCCGTTTCCGTCCCGATCCGTCCCGATCGCTACGGTATCTTCTCTTAATTCATTTTGTCGAGATGCTGTCCCGGCACATTTTTGTCTCCCTCCGTTCTCCCTGGATTTTGTTTTTGAACCTTCTTTTTTTCTCTGGATCTTGAGCGGCTCTTGTCCCCTAGACTTGCCCCTCTTTTCTCTCACCCTTGCTTTTTTCTCCCATTTCTCTTCCCTTGCTCTTCTTTCTCTTTCTGTTCTATGTTTCTGTGTAAGAGATGGAAACTGAAGTGTTGTGGCCTTTTTCTGTTTTCTGTCTCCATAATCAAACGTAGGAATCTTGTTTTTTTTTCTCTTCGACCAGAGGCGATTGCAAAGGAAGAGGGCGATTGGTTACAGCATTCCTACGGTACCGCGCTTTTTTCTTTAGGGAGGAGGGGCTGGGGGGGGAGGGGCTGGAGGGTAGGGAAAAAGGGTCGTCGGACCGTACTAGAGTTTACTAACCTAGTTGTGACAGACGTCAAAAGCGTTCGTTCCTCTGCCTATGGAGAACAACCGAGGGGCGTTTTATTTTCCTTTCTCATTTATGGACGGGGTTCAGGTCGTAGCTCCCGTGGAAGTCTTTGTTTGCTGGGCACCTATCTAAAGTGACAGTCGCTATCTGAAGAGCTGGGTGAGAGGAAGGGACAGGGTTTAGGGGTATATTCATGCGACAATATACTGTCACATTGTGAATCAGAGCGCAAAAAAGGGGAAAGAAAAAAGGAAAAGGAAAAAAGGGGGAGGGGGAAGAGGTAAGGAAAGCTCCACCTGTTCATAACCTCTTACGTACAAGGCCAGCCACGTGGATGACAAGTTGAGCGCTGGCTGCCCCCATCCCCGTGTGTCACAAGGACCCACTTGCACGCAGCCAAAAGGCAAAGAGGTAAAGAAGGGGAGGAGGAAACCAAACCTGACAGGGAAAGAAAGATAGGGAAAGAAAGATAATCCAATTATCACAAAGCAAATAACACATCCCACAGATCAACGTATCTTTTTTCTTTTTTTCTTTTTTTTTCTTTTTTCTTTTTTTCTCCTTTTCTTTTCTTCTTTTTTTCTTTACCTGCCCCCACCTCGGCAGATAGGACAGCTACGGTGAGGATGATGTGGATGTTCACAAGGATGCCCAAGGAG